ACGCCAGGGCGTGCCCGGCTTCTAGGCCGGAGTCGGCAAGTACAGGTGTTTGGAGATGCTTGAATCGGCTAGCTCAGTGAAGTCAATTGGTGGGCATGCGCCACACCGGTAGCTGACAATAAACGGGACACTAGTCTGCTCAAACCACTTGGCCGCCGGCTGAGTATTAAGAGGAACAGAGAATATGTGTAATTGTTGAACATGATCACCAGAAAAAGGGACCTTTGTAAATTTATCAAGATGTTCCGGCAACCCTGCCCCCCACCTGTCGAGAAGCCTTAGCACGGACTTTTTGGTATCGGGAACTTGGTCGGGTGGCAGACTTTACGACGGGACCGCCCGAGGAAAGACCAGTGTGAGGCTTTTCAATAAGCCAAAAGTAAAGGGAAAGGGGGTGGGTAGAGACTCGGCCGAGCGAATTCTAATTTGGACCCTGGCAAGAGCCTGAGTCAAGAGGGGAATACGTCAAGTTGGAGACGGTCTGATAGCACCGAGGTGTGTCTGCATCTGCCCCCCAGAGGATGTGCCGTGAGGGGGATGATTGCTTGAAAATGAAAAAAAGGATCGTGCGGTAGATGTATTTACCCATTTTCGGAAGATACGGCGAGCCAGTCCGGATGGTAGGTAAGCTTGCGGATGTCGGGGCATCATATGAGCGAGCACGGCGTCGGAGGCTTGAGATGAATAGCATCTGGCGACTCTGCCTTTCTCTCCTCGGAGTCCAGGTGTTGCTGGGGAAAGTGGTGCTGTGAGCTGGCGAAATGTGGCATGTGGCAGTTACATGGTGATGTCAACGCGAGGGGGTGGAGAGTTGGCGATTCAGGACAGACAGACAGACAGCATTCACGAAACGGGATGGTCCAAGATGGCAAGGGGGGCTGGCCGGAATCATGTGGCGTAGAAGCAACCTTTTCTGGCGTCGTTTTGGAAGGTTGCCATACGTGACAGCCGGCATGTCGACTGGACCCTTGGAGGTGTGCTGGGTCGGCAGAAAGCCTGAACCACAGACCACGAATGACGGAGGGGCATTTCGGGGCCCTTTGATTTTCACTTTCTCCCTTTCTTCAGATCTCGGTCACGGATCGACCTGGTTCTTTCGAGAGCGAGACCTGACAATGTGGGTTGGGTTGTTGGGCGTTTTCCACAGACGACCCATGTTTTCAACCGAAGGTAGAGGCCACATCAGCAAGGGGGTCCGGACGATGTCGAAAGCAGCCGGGTGGCCGCGGAATAGCAAAAGAGTTGCGATGAGGGACGGCACGTAAGTAGGGACGGTGGGGAGACGGGCAGGATGGCGGTGATGAAGCGGGAGAGGATGATCGACGCAGGGCGCTCAGCAGAGTTACTGGTAGTAAAATCGACATGCCCGGCCGATAACCTTTTTTTTTTTCCTTCTCACGAGCGATGTGCCCACAGCCTTGTATGGGTTTCTCTGGTTGAAATTAAATTAAAAAACAAGGGCACCAGCAGCTTTAACCGTGGTAGTTGCGAGTTCGCCCTAAAAGGCTAAGACGGATAGTACACTGCGATGATGACAGCAATGGGTACCGATCGACCCATGCCCACTACTTAGGTAGGTATACGGATAGAGTGGTAACAAGTACACGAATGATGGACGCCCCCCCCCCCCCCAGGCTGATAAGTCGCGCAGGCCGTTGGCTAGCCCTTTTGACATGACGACAGCTTCTCGATATGTTAAAATGCCTCATTAGGATTTTTGGGCGGTCGTACTGTACTGGATGGATGGGTTAACTGAGGATTTGTGGGAACGGACTGGAAGCCTGCGAACGCGTAGTCTGTGGGCGATCCGAGGCCTAGACTGGCGGAGCTCCATACAGAGATGCACGATTGAAACGTAGGGCAAGGGGTATGCTCCGTTTGGCTCACTTAGGAGCCGGTGCCCGACGGCGGGCGATGGGTTTGTCGGACTCGATAGAATCTAACCATTTTTATTCATAAAACAATGGGTTACATAGGGCGGGTAGGCAAGGAGCGACTCTGTACGTAGTAGATGAAAAAAAAGTGTCGTGTGGGCTTTATATGACAAAGTTGGCACACTGACGCGAACCAGTATGAACCCTGGGGATGCAGTGTACTGACGGGGTTTCCCCCCCTCTTCGTGGTATAGGTCGCTCGACGGAATCAACCTCCATCCTACATAGGAGGCCTGTGGGTGGGGAGCGCTTCGCGGCAAGGTCAGCGAAGATTCCTGTGAAGATTAGGGTTAATGGAGAACAGCTGCGGAGGTATCCGAGCATTGGACGTGTCGAAAGGCAAGGTCAGGCAAGGCAGGACGGGTTTGAGACGGAATCGACGGAGGGGAGGCCATCCGTCCGGAAAGCCGTAGTCGGGACTGAGCGACACGGTTGGTGGAAGACCAGACGGTGCTCGGACGGGGTAGGAAAAGCAACGAGGTAGCGGCGAAAGCATCTGACAATGACTTCACCGCATGGCTTCTCCCGAGTCTCCGGCTGCGTCAACCGCGTGTTTCTGACTCTATTTTCCGTGTTTGGACCGGGAGCTTGATGAAAGCTTAAGATTAAGATCCAACGCAGCCGAGTCGACGATCCTGGCGAGAAACCTGAAATCCCGAGAGTCATCATTAGACATGGCGGTCTACTTGTTATATTTTGGCCATCCAATACCAAAAGCCAATTTCAGTGCCAACCAACTTGTCCATGTACTTGGGTACACTAGGTATCGTAAATCCCCATTATGCAGGTAGGCAGCGGAGGCAGTAAACGGGGCCCACTTCCGGTTAGCGATTGGCAACGGCCGGGCTGCTCGGTCCCAATTACCGATGGATGGGGGCGTTGGAGTGGCAGGACTGGACACAGCCGGTTCGGCGTTCCACCGGCGGGCAGAGAGCAGGGCCTTTTCTCATCTTGCAGGCCGTCAAATCCCGTAGATTCTCTGGGCCAAGTTTCCCCCTTTTCTTTCTTGTTTCTTTGCTTCTTTTGTCCGTGTTCTGGCGCGGCACGTTTCCTTGCGCGTATTGATCCGGTTGAAAAAGAGAGACATGCAGACGGCTTGGCTTCTGGAACATACCAATGGGGTTGCAACGAAAACCCGTCGACATTTGCCCGGAGATTGACTCTCTCCGTCTACTTGCTTCTGTCTCGTCAGACCTAAGACATATGGCAACCGCTTCAGCTTCAGCTGCCCACGCAGCAAGGCGGTGCTCCGCGTCGGCTACATGGACCAGCGGAAGACGTATATATGCCTCGTCGTGGTGATAAGAGCGAGTTCCATGGCGATTAATAAATGGGGTGGCAGGCAGGGAAAGGTCTCGCCAAGGATCTGCTTGCTACGCACGCTATCTGACGATTAACCGCTTCTCGAAGTAGAGCGCGACATCAAGCAGGCAATTGGACCGAGTCAATGGCCCAGGGATAACACACCCCTCCTCCCCTGGGCGCTAACATGCTTTCGGGGCCGCGATAATGGGTCGACTAATGGTTGTGGCACGGCGCAACTCGCCCCTTTGGTTTTGCTTGGTGGTCCCCGTGGTAGTAATGGTGGTGGCATCCAGACGGACATTGCGTTTTGCAACAGCATGGGAGATGATATTGGCGCCGACAAATGCCTGCGATATGCCATGCACTGTCAAGGGGACAGCACAGTAAGAGGGGTGGCGGCAAATGCAAATGTTGGTCGTACATGATACGATAGTACGAGATGAGGGCGGCTTTCTGCAACATCTCCTCTGTCAAGGCTGTATCCCGAGTGCGAGCGTACAACATTTACCGGGTACTTCATATAAGAAAAACGATATTTAAAATAAAATAAAACAAAGTACAAAAGAAAAGAAGAAACTGAGGTTCCGGAGGCTGATGCTTCCAAAGGTTGCTTGTTTGCTTTTCATCCTGCCAGGATCTCTTCCATATCTATTACGCTACCTGTTGCCACTGAGGCACCGGAGCACTCCTCTCACTGGCTTTCCTGCATCGTACCGATACCTACTTACGTACCTGCAGCTCCAGTGCGGTGCCTTGACCTAGGCGAACACTCGCACTAAAACTGGACCCCCACCGCGACACAGGGAACAGCTGACGGGGAGGGAAACCATCAGGGAAGGTACCTCCAACAACGCTGCGCTCTCCACAGAACCACATGTACTGCAAATGTCTACGTACTTTTCCCCCTTCTCCCCCCTTCTACCTACCTACCTACCTACCAAGGTAGGTACCTTATTTACTCTTGTAGTGTACGATACAGTGAGTGGTACAAAGTACTCCTCCACAAGTCCCATTACACCAAAGCAGCGCCCCCCGCCTGCAGCACGCCAAAATCCAATTCAGGTCCAGGCCAGGTCCCCCCGCTGCAGTTGCTGTTACCGCTGTTACTGCTGCTGTTGCCTACCGATGCCAAACGCTCTCGTCCACCTTTATTCGCCTGAGCCCAAGCCCGAACGGCGATCCCATCTTCGAACCTGACTTGTCCTTCCAACTCTTGCAGTCTGCCCCGGCTACCTACTTACCATCTTAGTCTCTCTGAGTAGCGTGCATCAGATTGAGCCTCTTTTGCACTCACGCCTTTTACCGCCATCTCCTCTCTCTTTCTCTTCCTCCCCTTCTCTTGACATCAACCTTCCAACGAAAGTCGGCCAGGAATACCGACAAGCCGCGAGAGGAACCAATGCCCGTGATTCCTCCTTTGTCAGCCCGATTCTGTGCGCTGCTTCCACACCTCCAATCTCTTCTGCAACGGGCCCCCGCAGCCGCCCTCACGACCTTCTTACCCTGAGGGCACCCCCGGCGCTTCTCGATACTCGACATCCCCGATTCCTCTTCGTCCTCCAGCCTTTCCTTCTCCTCCGTTTCGATCTCTCTCTCTCTCTCTCTCTCTCTCTCTCTCTCTCTCTCTCTCTCTCTCTCTCTCTCTCGCTGATTGCCGCAACCCCCACTGCCGTCGCCTTATCTCCGTTCCGACGAGCTGTTGCGCCTTCTCTCCTCGCCTTCCTTGCCTCTGATCCGCCCGACAGCCCATCGACGCTAGCCATGAATTTCGACTCGGGCGTCTACGCAGAGTCGGACGCCGACGACGAATATGAGCGCAGTCTTGGGCCCAACTCGCCTGTCGCCGATGACGAGGGATCACCAATCGACTCCGAGCTCCCCTCTTCCAGCGAGCACACACCCACCACCTACGGCCACCGCAGTAGTGCCGACCGCCTACCCGAAACCATCATCTCTGAGTGGACTGCCGATGAGTGCGCCGACTTTATCAGCACAATCGGCCTGCCGCAGTATGCCGATAACTTCGTTGGTAAGTTGAACCTTCTCCGCCACCGTCCCTTCCCCGCGCGCTATTGTGACGCCTGACTGACTCATACCCTTCGTCAGAGAACGAAATTGTCGGCGAAGCCTTGGTTGCTTTACAGCATGACGACCTCAAGTCCATGGGCATCGCCAGTGTCGGTCATCGCCTTACTATCCTGAAGAGTGTCTACGACGTAAAGAAGGCCCAGGACATCCCCATAGAAAGCGACCACTATGTGCCTCTGTGTAGGTGATGCCGCGTTCTGAACCCCCACTAACTCCCTGCTGACCTTTGGATTCCCTTTGTAGCTGCCGATGCAGAAGCTCAGTATGCGACAGCCACCCTTAAGGATATCAAACACCTGGTCGAGCAGCTCCGCTTGCGAGACGAGAGGATGAGCCTGGTGGAGAAGGACCTGCGTAGACTGTCAGAAGATTTCAGGCGGCTGCGGGAGGATATGCTGCCTGCGTTGCGTCTAGCAAAGGACTCGTCACAACCATTACCGAATGTCTCCAACAACAACAACAACAACAACAACAACAACAACAGCAACAGCAACAGCAACAGCAACAGCAACAGCAACAGCAACAGCAACAGCAACAGCAACAGCAATAACAGCAATAACAACAACCAGAATTACGGTTACGACACTGTATCGCCACCGGCACCGACGCCTTCTTCAGCCCAGTCGATGAACCTGCAACGCCAGTACTCCACCAAGAGGATTATGCTGGGAACGACGCCCAAGAGCAGCTCGCCATCACATCTGCAAACGACCCACGAGAGGTCGATGGAACAAACGCTGGACCCGTCAAATGCCGCGGAGCGAGCCGTCTTGTCATCGTCGCACCTTGCAGCCATGAACGGTTCAGCTACGGCTACCTCGCCCGGCTACCCGTCTCCAAACATGCCCTCGCCAACATCTCCTCCTACGCATGGTGGTGCAACGCTGGGTTCACGATCTTATCGCTCCGACCGCTCGGAAGTCCCCACCCCTTCCTCACGATCAACTTTTGCCGAGAACGACCACGGATACAAGGCTCGCGAACAAGCCACTGCACCGAAACGTGGACCGACCCCCGCCCCCGATACGCCGAGTACGAGCAACGCGTCCGTCGAGATCTTCAAGTCGTTCCGAGTTAGCATGGACGATCCGTGCTACAAGGTCCTGCCAGCCGCTCTCAAAAAGTACCAGATTAATGCGCCTTGGGACCAATACGCGCTCTACATTGTCTACGGTGATCAGGAGCGCTGTTTGGGGCTGGAAGAAAAGCCTCTTATCCTGTTCAAGCAATTGGATAAGGAGGGCAAGAAGCCCATGTTTATGTTGCGGAAGACGAACAACGCACAAGTCGATCCGTCATCAGAACAGCCAGGAAGCGCCGGACTTGGGGCTAGAGGCGCGACAATGGGATATGATCCGCCCGGTGGTATCATTTAGGGGGCGATACCTTTACTGATCATACTCGAAGGTTGCCCTTCGTCGATTTGACTGATTTCCCAACCGATTGACTGAGCGAACACTGGCCGTGCGTAGGACGCGGGGCTGGCGATCCCGACAGGACCAAAGGATACCGGAGTTGGGGTTCACCTGCATAGCGCTGCGCGGAAGAGACACGACTGTTTTGGGACACTACCACGGAAACACAGAGTGGGTTCGACTGGGCGGGGGATTTCCTCCACGGAAAGTGTTTCGTCTTGCAGTTGTCCCTGGACTGGTCCGACTTCGAAAGGTGGATCCGAGCAATATTGTTTCTTATTTTTTGCTTTTCATGTACGAGCTCCAAGACCTCGAAAGAACGAGATCCCCGCCCAGGGATTCGTCGGTCCTTTTTTTTTTTTTTGGCAAAGCTGTTGGAATCGATTGCTCTTGGGGATCTAAGCAGGCTCTGGATGGGGCTTGCGCAGGGTTTAAGCGGGACCCGGGGGATGGGTGCGGTGCCTGAGTGTGTCACGGTCTATGGAAGATGGCTTGAACTGGAGTAGAGCGAGCGTGTAACCAACAGTCGGAAGGTGGCAGGGAATTTTTTTGGGTATTTGGGTGGCGGCATCTGCTCAATGCGATCAAAGGAGTCGCGGGAGCTATCAAAAAGGAGCTGTTTTCAATTCTTCACATCGACTTTCACCATTTGCCGTTCTGATCGAGACCGTGACCTTGCAATGTCGAACGAATGCTCGTCCCTTTCTCCCGAGCGCGGAGGCAAATGACCCGATACATGGAACGAGCCCGCAAGCGTACGAGAATAGGACGATGTGGTGGGAAGAATGACGCTCACTTATTGGCGTAGGGGTTCTCACCACAGGTCAAGGTGGGAGGGGACGATCGCGTCAAGGATGGTCGCCAGACTCGCCTGTTACTGACCTTCTAGAAGAATGTGCATCCGCCTCAGGATGGGACGACTCGCGGCTCCAGGGTCGACACGAGCATGGGCCGAAAGGGGTGGAGAAGGAAGCAATGGTGAGACTGTACTCTCTGGGTGTGATGCTTGGGCGGGAGATGGCGTACATACGGAGTACAGTACCTAGGGAAAGGGTGCGGGTACTTCTCTATTCGTCGGGTCCTCCCTCCGTCCCCCTGGAGCAGTATCGGCACAGATTCCGGGAGAAAGACCGGGGGGTGGAGTTACCCTTGACTGCCTAGGTACGTATTGCTTTGTTACTGGCACGGGGTTGGTATCGTAGTTGTCCTCGGGTACCACGGAGGGCCGGGTAGGCTGTCTCAGTGCGGTGGGTTTGGGGGTTGGTGTGTTGTTTCTTGGAAGGCCGTTGAAGAACGTGAGATGCTCGTTCGGACGGCTGAAGAGGATGTGGGGACTGGATATTGCCGGAGGTTTTGGTGTGTGTGGTATTGAGTCAAAGTTAGGGGCGAGGAAATCCTGGACGGAGCGCTGTCTGGAATGGTGCGCGATGATCTACTGGTCGGTGCCTCCTTTTTGAGTCTTATCAAGGAGCTTGATGGGGAGCACGGGAATGGGCTTGAGCAGGTTTCCGTTCGTGGTATGTGGACCTATTTTGGGGGGTCGAAGGAGGTTCGGATGCAACGCCGGGACGGAGCGGAGGTGAGGACCCGGGAATCTTGGACAATAAGCCCTTTGGAAGCAGGAAAGCCTCCTCCCCCCCGTTTGCGTTTGGAAAGTAGGTGGTGCTGGCACGATTAAGGCTTTTCTTGCGGGCGGCGGTGGCGAAGGGGGGAGAGATACGAGGTTTTGGAGGGTTGTGATGTATCAGATGCGCCGCTAAACTGTGCACCAAGCGTATGCCGATTGAAGCACCCGTTCTTTGTGGTGCTTTTGCCCCATGACCCTCCTGATGCTCCTGGGGTTCCTCTCTGTGAAGTGACCTCGAGTAAGGGAAGTTACAGCGTACGGGTCGGAAGGGGGAGATTGTTCAATGGTGAGCCTGGCAAAGCCGTCTCACCAGGCAAATGCACTCCCGGATGCTCTTATGATGCTTATCCGTATTGTCCTTCATTTTGACGAGCCGACCGCCCGACCGCCTCCTTTGGCGCGGAATTGTTTTTTCTAAGCGGGCCGAGTTAGGACCTCAGCGCTTGGGATAAAGCCCCCACCCGTTCGATTGATCTTCGCCTTTGACAAGTGTTTGGTGTTTTGGGCGCAATGAAGGGTGGGGACGGGATGCGCGGCCGGGCGAGGTCGTTCGAGACTGGTTTGCGGGGGGAGGCGAGATACGGGGAGGTATCTCATACTAGTCTGAGGATTGGGGAGTTGAATTGATGCAGCTGAAAACAATAGATATATGACGCCAAGTTGCAGGTATAGTGGTTTCTCGGGCTGTCCGACGGGACCAACTGGGCATTGTGTGTTCGTAACGGTGCATCTTGGATGCTCACGACTAAGGCGGGCGAGATTGGGTGTGGCGGGCAAGCTGATCCAGGGACTTCTGAAACTCACATGTCAAGTTAGTATAGATGGGGCTGAATCGCGTGCATGAAAGTGTATAGAATTTCGTGACTGGGATCCGCGTGTGAAGCATGCAACGGCGTTGGCCATCTGAAGAGCTATCTACCTTAGCTTTGCTCATTCGGATGGCTTGCTCGAATGGCAGGTGTCCAGTTGGTCGAGTTGTCTTTTGATGAGCTACTTACTTGAGGTGACGACACGGCCGAGTCCACTTACCTCTTGCATAGAAAACCCGGTTGGAAGGCCAAGTGGGATATCAAATTCCCATAGTACACCAAACTGCTCTCGCTCTGCTGTCTAGCCCGTATCCTGGGCTACTCCATGGACATCTATCTGACCCATGTCCAGCATCCCGCATTACCCCCACCTAGCAGCCTCAACTCCATGCCGCTCCAGCCCTTGAAGCCCAATGTTAGGGCTACGATGCTCGCCCCGTTCGCGACCCCGAGGTTCCACATTGCAGTCATAATCCGAACCGCTGCCTCGTGCTGCCAGCACAAGGAAAATGCCCGAATGGCTCAGTGGTAAAGCGTCTCACTAGTACAGGCTGGCCCAGTCCGAGGACTGGGAGAGTGAACACGACATGAGAAGATCGCCAGTTCGATTCTGGCTTTGGGCAGAGTGCGAGTGTTTTGACCTTTTGCAGCCGTAGTTTTGGTCATGTTGTTTTTGATTGTTATTTCCAAATAATGGGTGCATAAACTGGTAACTCGGTCGTATCATTTTGCCCGCTTTGGTCCGAGTGTCTTGGATATCGGACCGTGGCTCTCTCTCGCTGCCTGTCGGGCAGGGAGTTTTGGAGCGAATGGGTGACAGGGAAACGAATGAAAAAGTAATCGAGCGTGTCGACGTTTGTTAAAAATGATATACCACGAATATTCTCCGTGGACAAGCAGCACCTCGCTTTGACCAATGAAAGTTGTCGATACAGACGTATGGGTCTCGGTGTCTGTGTGCATGCTTGAGCCTCAGATGCCCATTTCTGCCGGGACACTCGAAATGATACTTGTTCCTACTATTGTTTCTCTCCCGTATGGTAATCACTACGGTGGCTTCTTCTGCTTCCACTTCTGCAGCCGATTCTCAATTTCTCGTCCTTGCTCTAAAAGGACTCGATAGCCCAGTTGCAGACTGTCAGTTATAGTGGTTGCGACAACGAAAGATCTTACACTTGCATGTGGTGTAGTGGGTGAGATGGGAACACTGGCAACTGGGCTATAGAGGACGAGGAGACACAACTCCCCATGTAATTGAGTGCTGCTTTGGTGACTGCCAGCATCATAGGCTCCAGGTGAGAGGTTGCGATGAAATAAAAGCCGAATATTGAAGTGACTTAAAGCTTCAATCTGAAATGTAGAGATACACAGCGTCGGACATGTCATCATATCTATATAGATAAAAAGAGGTTCTAACGGCATGGCATTTCGCTGATTTATTGGTCCATAAAATGCTCACTAAGAGTTTGTCACTGATTAAGAGGTGTCCCTGGAATGGATATGGCTCATTCGGGGCTCAAGATGAATTCCGGAAGATATCATTTGGGAAGGACCAGGTGAGTATGCCTCGAAGTTCGTGCGTGCCTTAGCTAGGTAGCTAGGTAGCTAGACAGGCAGGCAGGCAGGCAGGTAGGTAGAGTCAGGTGCTCCCTCACTTCTTGCTTTTGCACCTGCCCGTCCTTTACTGCATACACCTCTGCTCTTTCCAGTTACCAGGGACTCACGTTCACAGCCTTCCCATACTCACAACTCCCAAGCTATTTCTCCGCAGGTTTGTGCAAGGGTTGTCAAAAGATATTCCCATCGCCATACTTTATCAGGCGAAGGAATACTACCTGCTGACTACTATCATAGAAGTTCGGAGTACCCCTCCGAGACGTGGGAAGGAGAAAACCAGCGCAAAATATTACGTTGAAAATAACGTCCTCTTCCAATCCACGAAGGAAAATTCATCCAAGTCATGGAGCCTCACCACCAGACTGCCTCTGTGCTTCAGCCTGGCGGTATAGAGTTCGCCTTCGGTACAGGCGATGGCTCTCACTCATTCACGTGGAGCCCTCCCGCTTCCGCGAGCCCCCCAGACAATGACCACCAGACAGCGTTAAACGACCGGAAACGTCGTCGAGTGCATGTCAATATTGTCAAGCAGGGTGTTGCTTTGCTACAGCTTGGCTCGGATATAACCTATGACTTCAGCTCGACCCATGCCGAGGCCGAGAAAATCCTTGCGGGTGTCATCGCTGAGAGAGATCATCTTCAAAGGAACCTTGATATTATCAAAGACGACCTTCGGCATACACTGGGTAGATATCGAGCGATTGTGGAAAAGCTTGATGGCACCCAAGGGGAGTTTGATCACTACAAAAAGAATCACAGCCACAGCAACGAATTTTTACACCGTCTGCAAACAAAACTCGACAAGAGCTATCAGAAATGTCAAGACATCCTCAACCATCGCAACCAGCTCATGAAAACCGTCAACAGCATGCGCAAATAGAAATCGAAGAACGAAAGCGAGCAGAGGCTTCTTCTCGAGAAGATTGTCGAGGATATGACTGCCCAAGAAAAAGTTCGGCGTGAAATGGGTGAGACCAGATGCCAATTTTCCAGGGATCTTGAACACGCCCAACAGAAAGTAAGCCATGCAAACCTGCAAAGGGCCAAGGCCGAGGAGGAAGTCAAAGAGGTCAAGGCCGAACTGGACAATCTTCGAGACCAGGCTCAGGTGGAGAAGACCAATCTCGTGCAGGAGCGCGAGGAGCTACAAAAGGAATTGGACAGCGCCACGAAAAGCGAGATGAGATATCGAGATGAGGTCGCCCAGCTCAAGAAAGATACCGAAAGCCTCGGAGAAGAGCACAAAGGCTGCCAAGTATCGCATGACAAACTCCAAAGCGACCTTCTCAGCGCCCTCCAGGCAAGCGTAGGGGCCAGAGCAGAACTCAGCGAGGCACAGAAAGGACTGGACGAGAGTCACGACAAGTACGCCAAGTTGGTCGTCGAGATGCGGCTCTTGGAGGAAAAGAACACGGCCCAGGTAACCCGACTTGGAAGCGAGCGCTGCGAACACCTCCGCGAGAAGCGGGAGACCATCGAGAAGCAGAAAAAGGCCGAGGCCGAGATCAAGAGACTCCGAGACGAAAACTACAGTCTGTCGTCAAAGTTCCGCGGTGGCACACTGGAAGACGAACTGCGAATGGCGCTCGAGGCGGAACTCGGCAATTGAGACGACTAAGATCCAGAGGCAATTGCCTATATCGGGGGACGTACAAGTATCGCCCGCAAATAGGTCAAGAAACCAAAAAAGAGAGAAAGTTATATGGAAAGCTAGGAGGTGTCTTGACACGGCTGAAGGACGCAGATGATCGGGAAGACTCTGGAGTGTCTTGTGAACCAATTGCAAGGTTCCTCACAAACGGCATTCGATAGCCCATCAATAGTCTGTTGGCCAGAATGTAGGGATATAAAATTGTACTTTTGACTTTTAGGGCGGTCTGTTGATGCCCACTACGATGCGAGACCTAGACCGAGTGCTGTGGAGAGAGGCTTCAATGCGTGGAGTTTGGCCCATCGCTTCTGGAAAGGCGGGAAGCTTGTTTCCACCAGTACGTCAAGCAATGTTAGGGCAATGGAAAGCCTTTGATTTTTCTTGCTTTGAGAATGACCTAACCGAGCTCTGGCCCGGCCTATCGAGCGAGCGACGGTGTGAGGATGATGATGATGATAATGATGAGAGCTGGCATGTGACTGCCGGTATCTACCGCAGGCACGCCAGACAAAGCATCGTCAGCGCCAGACGGATTCTCCAGACGCCCACCGCCAAAGCCAGCAGCCCCTGGCGAGGCTCCCTCGGGAGCCCCTCCTTCCCCATCCAGCGGTCTTTTCTCTCCTCTCCCTGTCCTGGATCCGGCATCTCGGCGACACCACGAGCTGCGGACGCGTTGCCGAGGTCCACCATCCAGTCCAAACCACATGTAAAGCCTGCGCGTGGACTAGGCGAAGGCAGGCCATCAATCAGAATCGATGGGAAGGAGGCGGGCGAACTATGGCGTTGACGACGCTGGCCAGGCCATTGAGTCCACGGCGGGATGAGCCGAAACTACCGCAGCTTTCCGCGCTCTTGGATGAGTGCCGGCGGAGGGGGGTCTCGGACTGCGATAGCGGTCCAAAAACGGACGATCTAGGAGCCAGCGCGGGATTTCCGGAGCCCGGCCCGGTACGCAGTCGGCAGCGACATGTTTACTTGTGTCTCACAGGGGACTTTGTGCTGATTGGCGTGCGCGCGCAAGCAAACAGCTTACCAAGTGCGGTGTTCCACCCTTGTTGAAATAAAAATACAGCTTAATATTGGACACCTGAAGTTGGCCTACTCGGCACCGTCGCTGGGGTTGTTCATTATTCAATTCTCACGCGCCCAGCGGCCCGGCCGTGGCCCTAGATAGCAGCATTGTACAGGTGTTATTAGCAAAAACCGACAACTCATCCAGGGGTAGCCGTGTGTATGTGTATGTGTTTCCCCCTTTGGGATGACCGTGTGTCCAGTTCTACCTAGTCTATCATTTCCAGCCAGCCATTAAAGCCGATCCGATCTATCGTTTCGCTTCAGACACCATAAACAAACAAGTAGCGAAGAGAGTACATGGGCACAAAAGAAACAAAGACGTGAATTATCCCAGCGTCGGGAGGCGGGATAAATGCATCATTAACGCCAAGAACGATCGGAGCTTATTCTCGTGAAATATCGCGACCAAAGACCTTGGACTTGAGCCAGTCGTTGACGACAAGCAGGCGGTTGCGAGCTGCACAAGGTTAGATATTGGACATAACCTTCTGGCCAAGGATATAAAACTTACTGCTGAAGCACATGGAAAGGTAGGCGCTGCGCCAGAAGAGGTAGGTCATGCTGCCACCGCTGGCAATATTGCCGTTCCACCAGCTGACGTCAGCGACGGCCTTCTCGCTACCAATGTAGGCCATGCTGCCTTGGTGAGAGTAGTGGAAGGGCTTGATGTCCTTGATGCGACGGAGCTGGCGCTCATGGGCCTCGATCTCCTTGGCAACCTCGGCGGCGTTGCCGGGCTTCAAGTTGAGGTCCTTGCTGAGCTCCCGGACGCGAGCCTCGACAGTCTCTGTTCTGGCCATGTTGTTGAACAGTCTAGCCAGGAAGCTACCTTCCTGAGCGGCAACCTGGGCAGTAGGGGCGTATCCAGCGACGGCGCAGTCGCCAATGGCCCATATGTCACGGGTGCCCTGGACAACGAGGTACTCGTTGACGGCCAGGCCGCGGCGAGAGTCCTTCTGGGCGGGGATTTTGGAAATGAGGTCGCGGACAATGGGGCGAACGGCATTGCCAGTGGCCCAGACGAGAAGACCGTAGGGAATAGTGAGGGTCTGCTTCTTTCCATCGGGGCCAGTAGCTTCAGCCTGAACGTGGGTGTCGGTGACGTTCTTGACCATGGTCTTGGTCAAGATGTCAATCTTCTCCTCCTTGAAGGTCTTCTCGGTGTACTCAATGAGCTGCTTGGAGAAGGAAGGAAGAACGTTGGGGAGAGCCTCGATCAAGGTGACCTTGAAACGGTCGGCGATTTCGGGAACAAGACGCTTGATGTCCTCCTCGAAAAAGTCCTGGAGCTCACCAGCGAACTCGACACCAGTAGGGCCACCGCCGACGACAACCATGTGCATGAGACGGTTGACGTCCTCGGCGGACTGGTCCTTGAAGGCGGCGGTCTCGACGCAGTCCATGATCTTCTTGCGAATAGCCTGGGCGTCGCCAATCTCCTTCAAGAAGCAAGAGTTCTCACGCACACCCGGGATGCCGAAGGTGGCGTTCTCAGCTCCAACACCGACGACCAGCATGTCGTAGGCGACCTCGGTCTCGGACATGGAGCCCTTAATTTCCGACGTATCCAGAATCTTGACCACCTTTCTATCGGGATCGATGGAGCTGGCCTCGGCTTCGTAGAACTTGACGGGGGCCCTCTTGTGACGGAGGATGGCGCGGATGGGCTCCATGATGGAGCGATGCTCGATGGTGCCGGTCGTGCACGAGGGGAGAAGGGGGGTGAAGAGGAAATAGTTTCTGGGCGAGATGACGACGACGTTGTAGTTTTCGGTGTCGAGCTTCTTCAACAGAGAGACGGATCCCCAGCCAGTGCCTATGGTTAGGTTAGCATGGTGCACAAGCTTCTGCTCGCTGGCGAAGCAACCTACCGAGAATGACGATCGTCTTCTTGCTGGGGTCGAGCTCAAGCTGCTCCTCGGGGTGTCTGTCATCGTAGACGACGTATCCGATGTAGGCGAAGAGGCCCAGGGCGGAGAGATAGGTCAAACGCCAGGCCCATCTGAAGGTCTTGCGAAGCTTGCCGGGCTTCTTGGGAGCTGCATCGGCGTATTCTCTGCGGAATTGGCGCGTAACGGTGCTGACTTGGGGAAGGGCGGCGACTCTCGGCCTCGCGGCGACGGTTCTGAGGGACTGTCTGGAGGAGGTAGTGAGGGTTCTACGACCGGCGTTGGCAGCGCGCGGAGCCTTCTGGAGGAGGTGAGTTGTGCGAAGGGAGTTCATGGCTCTGGAGGAGGAAGCCATTGCTTCAATTGATGATGGAGAGGGAGGGAGGTCCCCGGTGACCAACAACGTTGGGATAGTTGACGATGAAGAGGCAATGCGACAATTGCGGCAAGAGAGGATGATGGAAAGGAGGATCGGAGGAAGGAGGGAATTTCGGAGACGATAAGGATGCGGCGGGCAGCCTGCTTTGGGGGGGGGGTGCCCGATTGTGTTTGACGCAGCAAGATTTGCAGCTGACGGCTGGACCCTCTCAACCAGGCGGTAATTTTTATTATTTCTATGTATCCGGACGCAAGCGCAGAAAATTTCAGGTGCTACGGGGGTGAGGTCAGAGCTGGCGCGCTCCGCTGGTGGTATCGGTATCTGAGAAGCTTGGACACCCAAGGCGACACATGATTGGACGTGATCAGAAACCAAATGTAATTCAGTGACCGACGATGAGTATCGGTAGACTACCTACCTACTCCTAATTACCTAGTTGCCTAGGTACCTGTACGTTGTGCCCTGCTGCTGCCGGTGGTGCAGTCTTGGCTGCGCCTAGCTACCTTTCCCTTGGGCCCGCGTGCGGTTTCCCTCACTAATAAGTTTATCAATGACTGGGTATAAGAGGTAGTCATTGTGGACTCTGCGGTGGGTCCATCGCGGTGTCTCTTCGAGAAAGAGAAAAAAAGAAGTCACCAGCCCCGGCCACGTCCGGCCGAATCCCGGCGTTTCTAGACATTGATTTTTCCTTCTTTTTCTCTTTCTAGCTGATCCAGTACATTACCTACACTTGGTTGATGTCGCGATAGCAACCCGAAGCCCGGATGACTCAGGAACACTTATCTCTATCTATCCGCGCTCTTTCTCTCGCGCATTCTGGCAGGTGTCAAGCACAGTCAGCCTCACTCACGTTATCCTACGGCCCTGGTGACACAGAGTACCACACCCACCTCGTGCCTCACTTCTCGCCTAGGTAGACCCATGCCTCGAATCTTGCATAGGTTGCCGCATTCTCCCGCAATACATCACTTGGGCACATGCTTTGTCGTAACCGGCATTCGACACTACCATCCCCCCGACAATGCAAGCTCGTGAACTCTCATGCTCCCGCAACTTTCCCTTGTTGCACCATAACCTATCAACTTACCTAGAGCTTTCTCCATGCTGTTTGGCAAAGCGCCCACCGAGAGCAGCCCCTCCAGTGCCATTTCCCCGAACCCCTCCTGACTACCCAGCCCAGTCATTCCCCACCGCCGATGGGAGAACTGCGCATGACGCCACCGGGAGACATGTGGTCATTCTGCCCGAGATTGCCCCCCCCCCCATACCCGACAACTTCCCGGTGCCCCGAGGACGCACTCCATCCGACCGATGCCGCGTCCCCGGCCAGTCCCGTCCCAAGTCCTTCCTTCCGTCCCCCTTCGATTCCTGCCCCAGTTTCCGTGCCTTGTCTCGAGGACACTATCACAGTCTCCGGGATCTCTCTTGGTGGCTGTGCAGGCCGGCATAGTCGCCCGCATCCATCCTTCCGAGGCCGTCATCGAAAGTATCGGACTTGAGCGTTCTGTGGGGATGTCACACTCCCTCCAGGAACCATTTCATCTGTTACCAACATGTGGTGGTCGGTCCAGAACACTTCGTGCAGACGAACCTACAAATCGGCCCAACTCCCCCCCTCTTTCGGTCTTGACACTATGACAGCTGCCGTTCCCCATCTCGTCACACCAGAAACATGTGGGAGCTGGCTTACGTGGTCACCTCGGCTTAGTGACGCCTTTTTGGTTGCAGTCACCACAGTTTGGCCCCCTCTGCACACCCACCATCTCCCTCTCCGCCTTTCACTTGTCTAGTCATCCGGGCTCAAGATACTTGGCAAACCATGACGGCACACTGCGATGGTGTGTTTGTCAGAACCATTATGACACGAACTCACAATGACTGGCAGCCAGTACCATCACCGCCTCCACGGCCGTCCCATGGAGATGGGACTGACCCTCTGGGCACATGCTCCAAACTTACGACCCGAGCAAACGGTCTTGGGCATTTAATTCAGTAGGTAGGGGAATTCGCACATTGGGAAAGTTTCCATGGCCAAGACCTCTCTCTATCTCTATCCCGAGCCAGGGGCCCCAAAAGCAAGCGGGATTGTGCTGGTGTGTGTCGGCACCTTTTGCACTAGAGACGAAACGGGGTCTTGCCCACATTCCACCGTCACCATCCCCGGTGCCGGGCCCGGACAGACTGAAACGCCGCAAGATTACCTACCTAGGTAACCAGCCTGGCAGGTGGAGAGAGCCGATGTGATGATGGTGGACACACTTTTGAAGCCGCTGGCAACGTGAAACAGGGTCGTGTCTGACTTGAGAGCTCACACAGGAGGAAGTGGGCCAAACCCCTCCCCGAAAGAAGGCCTTTCTAGGTAGTCCAACAAGTCTCCAGCAGACGGACGCGTTAGCAGCAACCCCTGTGATGCCCGGCGCCTGTTCTGATTTCTAGTTTGTTTTGATACAGGTGGCGCGATGATGCTGTGCTAAACCACCGGACTTGTCATGCAATACTCGTCAGGTCCATCACCAACCCACGGCACCTACTACTAAACAGCGCATGACAGGGCGCCGGTGCGGGCGGCCAATAGGTCAAATGCCGGCAGATGAGACCGTTAGTCAGCTATCAAGAGCCGCCTTTCTACCGCCGGCCAATGGGCTACCTAGCTCTTCAGATTTACGGCCACGGCCTCGGTGGAGGCTCAAAGTGGCGATTCGAAACGACCAATATATTGGGCAAACCTCCAAAAGCCAAGAAAACGGTTGGTACTGTACACCTGGCACCGGCTTTCTTTAACTTCGCCTATCTGGCGCAAATTGAACACGTAAGTGCGGCCCTCGGGCGCACCCTTGCAGCGTAGGGTGACTTGCGCCTTGGTAGAAGATCGTAAGGAGCTTGGCGGCCGTCGTTATAGTGAGCCAAGAAGCGGAAGATTTGTCAAACGATGCTGATCCCGGCACATCATCAGTTCTGGGCGGTAGGCCTTGGGGGCGCAGTCAGCGGCTAACCACGATCGGCTCTGTTCCTGGTGTAATCTATGATATAGGGCATCGAATCTATTGCAAGGCCCTTTTCAAGAGTAAAGTTTTCGTCGGTGACCCCGCGGCAAATCAAAGCACAGTTACGGTTTGTCGCCAAGGTCGTCGATCAGGCTCTATTATAAAGGAAGCCCTGCCCAATTTGTGATGCTGTGCAAAGCGACTATTCTGCGGGCGAGTGTTGAGCGTAGCGTTCAGTCAGAACCAACAAGCAAGGGGAAAGAAGGGCTCAACGGGTCTTGGGATTTCCTCAAGCTTCGTCTGCCCGAGGGGCTCGCGTGTTCGTACGGAACTCTGGTTTCCAACACATCCGGTCGTGATGGCCAAGACCTCCGCGTTCTCGCGGTCAAGCTTTCGTCGGCCCTCTCAATAAGGAGGCACGAGCTTGGGGGGTTAGAGGAAAGGCTACCAATCAAGACGCTCAGAGGAGAGTGGCTCAGATCACCTGTACGGGTTTTCCAGATGCCAAGATGGGAGCTTAAATCCCACCCCTTGCCGTGATCACTCCCTCGAGGCGCGTTCCAGGAAGCTTCAGAGAAAGGATGAGACGAGGAGCACGCGGAACGACGAGGGGCCCTGGAGGCGACGCGGCTAGTACGGCACACAATGGTCGGTCGAAGGTTATGTGACAAAGGTCGGGTTTGAGGTGGGAGGGCCGTGCGGGAGATTTGCAGCAAGGCTTCGTTAGTGTATAGCATGCATGAGCTTACATGGTCAAGCAGAGTGCAGAGGCTGGAGAGAGAGAGTGTGTGTGTGTGAAAACAGGAGAGTTGCGAGTTGCATCATGTCCAGATTGGGTTGTGGACCAGCCCGTTTGGGTCCCGATCAGGGTCAACACCATGAGGCAGAAGAAGAAGATGATGATGAGGCGAGAGAGAGAGAGAGAGAGAGAGAGAGAGAGAGAGAAGACAGCATGGCTGGCTTTGGAGCGGCGAGACGAGGACTGCGAGCAATGGCTGGCTGTCTGAACCCGTGTTTTTTTCTTCATATCTTTTTTACCACTTGAGCAAGACGGTTCTGCTTTTTTATCCCACGATAGGCGGGTTGTAGAATGCGGCCAGCATGCTTGTTTGATTGCTCTTTACTCCTTGGCGAGGCGTTTACACTATATTGGTATGGTAAATAGGGGATACCGGCCGGATTCGACCTAGTCGGCTGGGCGTTTGGCGCCCAGCCATATGCGTTTCCGTCGCCCAGATCTGTAGTAGTAGTATGGATGACGAAATTGAGCCGGCGAGACCCAGTCCGGCCAGGGCTCCTTCACCGTTGCGCCTACCAATAAATGGAGCAAACCAGGATGAGGACGGAAAGAGCCTCAACCGTGATCCTTGCCTTGGCAAAACTGTGCAAGGTGCACGCGACTTTCGGGCCCCGCCGCTGACCTGAGAGGCCTCTCTACCTATCCCTCTCTTTTTTGCTCTTTTTTTTCCCCATTTTTTATTAATACTATCCCTCTTCTTGTTGGTCACTTTCGGTCCAGATAGGTTGCCCAGCTTGCCTTTGGTAGAAATATTTTGAGGGCAATGGTAATTGTGATTGTGATTGTGAGGGCGATGCCAGGCTTTTTGCTCGTTCGGCACAAGGTCAGTCCGGCCAATGTCGACCTACTCAGATTAACTCTCGGGAGGGCGAAGTGTATAGAGAGTCAAATGGATGGTGATGTATATCATCTGGGCCGAGTCTGTCTCGGGTGACGGCGGTAGGGGTGGTCGAAAACCAAACCAAACCGGCACCAGACATGTCAGAAGACGGGCGTGGCTTTTCGGTTCGCGTATTCCGCGCTCCTAGAGCCCGTCATTGGTTGACAGGCGCAGACCATCGGAACTTTGGGTGTGTGACCATCTGTGCGTACGTGCGCCGCCGGCCAGCCACCAACGGCCTGCTGCGTACGGACTGCGTAGGTAGGCCGGCATACGACTCCACAACTACTGAGCCTCAAAGGCCATTTTGCTTCCCAAAAGACCAGAACAGGGCGGCGGCTTGTGTCAACAAACGGGGCGAGGTGGGATGTGAGAGAGGTGAGAAAGGTGAGAGAGGTGAGGGAGGAAAGAGAGGTGAGAGGCTAGACCACATACTCACCTATTGTCTGGTTCGCAACAGTCCCTCCCCTGTCCTGAAACCCGCTCTTTCATACGCTGAGACGCATGGCCCCCTGCAAGTCTCGTCGCAGAGGGGTTCGGCGTACACCAAACGGACCCAGAAAAATCCCCTTGGAATGACAGGCCATTCCATCGACCGTATCTTTTCTCACTAACATGATCTCCGCGACAGCCATGCCGTACTGAGGTGGTGAACAACACCTGTAGGCTTCTCACCCATTCACTCATCCATTCCCACACGTCCCCTGAAATATTGTTGTTGCACGTCCGGCGGACTTGCCATGGAGGACCGTCGTCCGTCGACTTGACTCGACCCGACTCAACCTGCCCCCCGCCCCGGCTCCGATCTTGACCACTACTACTACGTATGTGCAACAGGGGAAGGTATCCCTGGTGGCCCCTTGATGTCGTTCCGCACGAGTACACTAGTTAATTACTTACAGCGTAGTGTACATACATACAGTACGACCACCTCGTTCGCTTTTTGTTCGCCGAAGGCCAGTTCCTCCCCCCCACCCACCGCTGTGAGAGTGAAGCGACCCCCACCTCATACTCAGCCTCTCGTCTTTCCTTCTCATTCTTCCTGGGGTGCGCCCGTGTCTCGCTCTCTTCTGACCCTAAATCTCCTACTGCCGAAGCTTCGCCGGCCGGCCCAGGAAACTGTTGACCCTGTTGTGGGTACTAGCTATCTTGGAGCCTACTGGCTTGAACCGATGGAGGACCCCCATTCCAGACACCTTCTGCCATCCATGTTGCCTGCTCGTGGCGCCTAGGGTCCTTGTCGCTCTAGACGCCAGGGGAAAGTATACCTACTACCTATCGTACCTACATACCTACCTCGATAATCGGTAGTAGGCAAGAGAGGGAGCGGAAAAACCTAACGCTGGGACACGAGAGAGAGAGATGGTTCTTTTCCAAGTCGTCGCCGCCCTTGCCCTCTCCGTTACCCGAGCCTATTGGCCCAGCTCTCCTTCTCGTTGTCTGCTGTCGCTTTTGTTTTGGGAAGAGTCGGCGATGTGTATACTCTGCTCAGCCGTTCTGCTTGCCAAGATGCCGTGCCATGTACTTGTAGACACGACACAACACGACACAACACGACACAACACGACACAACACAACACGACACAACACGACACAACACGACACGACACGACACGACACGTCTCGACACTCAGGCTACAACTGCGCCTGTGCAGTCGTATTCGGCCTGCAGACCCGGTCATGTCAGTCCAAGCGAACGCCTGAGCCTCACGTTCGGATATCCAACAAAGGGACGACAAGTACCAGGTGTACGATGACCAATTCACATCTCATGGCTCGCCTACTCCGTACGGCGGCGGCATGACAGAGAGGGAAGCAAGCTACCCAGCATGGGATGCGGGTCGATTCACGGACCACCCACTAGGGGCGCCGCACCCATCGGCTTTCGCGTGCCAGTTCCTGCACCAGTCCTAGTCAGTGCTGGTGCCCGCATGGGGTGCCTGGATCTATCCCTGAAGGTTCTCGGGGCACCATCTGTCATGCAGCATGGGTCTCCCCGCGAATGGGGGATGGATGATCAGCCCAATCTGATACATACTGTCGCCTCTCGCTCTATTGCTTCTCTCCTTCCCTCCCTTCTCCCTCTTCTCCCTCCGCTCGCCAACCCTCGCCTATTGCTTGGTCTTCACCACTTTTTCCATCCTTCCATTCCAAGGCCGGCCTTTTCCTTTTCAATTCTAACCACTAGACTCTTTTGGCTGGCACCGACGTCTATTTCGTTGTTACCCTCGACATCTGTATTTCTACCACATACACACATACACATTCCATCTCTCCATTCACTTCGCATCGTCTGGGAACCGACCCGTCGCCTTCTTGAACCGACCCGAGCCGTCTCATTCACCCGTTTTCACCAACTCGATCCCCCGTCTACTCAATCTTGCTTTCCGACATCGTCAAGCTAAGGGCCATGGTTTGGACTGATTGACAAAGACTACATCTTGGCGACTATCATCGGTCCGGCACAGGATAGGATAGGATGATCGAGAAAAGGGGCATGGCTCCCCACGCAGTACCACCGGGCCGGAGGGCCCTCAAGAGACGTGCTCGCCCTGCTAATATTGCCGTGTCGCCTTCGCTTTGGGAACGAGACGCCGAGTCTGACGACGAGTATGCCAACCAAGTAAGGAACGCTGCCGGAGGCGTGTGGAAAAGGACTGCCAAGTCGGGCATCAGGCCCTCGGATGACACACTGGAGCGCCGGTCGGACAGCGACAGCGGCGACCGGGGACGGGGAAGCCAATACAGCGAACCTTCGAGCCCTGATACCCCCAAGACAAGGCCTTCCTATAACCTCCCGGCCATAGGAAGACTTCCCGTGGCATCGCTTCGACCGGCCCTTCCCGCAGTCTCAAACCTGCCTTCGACAACGCTCCCGGCATTTGAACCCGCTATTACTTCTCAAGCCCCCGTCCTCGAACCTCCTATGTTCTTCCAGCCTGTAGTACCGCAGCCGCGACCTACATCGCATATGATGACACCGTACCGTCCCCTCCAGCCCGTGGATCCTCAGCCAGCACCAGTGCTCGCTCCGGCCGATCCTGAATCAACACCACGCGAATCCGAAGTCCCTATACCACCAGCGACGATGACAGTGACGTCCCCTCCTCGAACAATTACAGTCATCTCCACGATGAAGCCTGCTTCTTCCGTAAGTTATCCAGAAAGCTCCAGCCTAGCGGCATAACTAATCTTACGCTTCACCGAAGAGTTCGACCTCATCATGGTCACCCTCTCCGCCGGTGATCACCCCATCATCGACGCTGCCTACGTCAGCAGCTTCGTCGACAGGCCCGGCTACTTTACCACCTTTGCCGTCTGTTGATCCTTCGGCGCCGAGGAAGGGCGTCGATGGTTACACACACACGACACCTACAGTAACGGCTACCTTGGCTTCGGCGGCACTACCTGCCGAAACCCTTTCTGCTCTCCCCGGGCCGGCGAGCGCTGTCAGTGATCGGGGTGGGGACGATGGGAGGCCATCGCGAATGAACCCAGAGACGGAGCACGCCCTTATTGCTGTGGGCTCAATAGGTCAGTCTCGACGAGCAAAAAATGCGGCATCTCATTAGCTGACTTTGTAGTAGGATCTTTCATCTTCGCCTCATTCCTGGTGTGGATTGTCTGGAGGACAATGAAGAAGGCTTCGAGGAGGAGAAGGGAAAGGGAGCTTGGCTACCCGAACGATCGCCCTGGTATTGGCTCCAAGATCCCCTTCTTCAAGGGATCCATGGGCGGATGGCAGAACATAGACGGTCGCCAAAGCGACCCGACCCAGTACGAAAAGGGGCCGAGAGGCACGTTGCGGCTGGATACCGGTTTCTACGGCCCCAATGGGAAGCCGGCCAACTATGGCCCTGGCGGCACTTATGTTCCCAACTACATGTCGCCAGTCGACAGTCGTGGCAGCCCTATCCACGGCAGCCCGACAGGCGCATTACCGGTGCGAATGAACCCCATGAACGGCGGTACATACAACGGTCAGCAAGGCGTTTTCAACAGTCAAACAGGCACCTACACGAGCCAGGTAGGGACGTTTAGCAGCCAGACTGGCACCTATGTCAGTCATGCACCCAGCGGCTCACTCACTCATATCATTGGACAATACGGAAACGGAACGGAGCCTGGCATGACATTACGGTCAGGCGTGGGAGCCGGTGCATACTTCAACCAGTCAGAGTTGGCTCGCCAACCATCGGACGCTTACGATCCAGCCAGGCGGCAAGTCAACAGGGCGAGCGAACTCTCTTCCATTTCATCTGGCTTCGGCGACGGTGACATCATCGTGCCAGGCATGCCTGGAATGGTGCTGCAGCCCCCTCCGCCTGTTTCACAGTCACTGAGAGCTAGCCGAATGGACAATGATCGGGTCTCCTGGGCCAACAAGTCCAACCGCGAGACGGTCTACACAGAGGCCAGCGAGGACCTGCCACCTAGATTCAGGACCGTCGACAGCTGGGTCAACCAGCAAAGCGGTCGCGTCAAGAGGGCACAAGCACGGCCACAGACGGACGAAGACATCCCACCTGTGCCTGGTCTTCCGGCAGGGACGGGCCAGAACGGGATGCCGCCTGAACCCCAATTCACCATGATGATGCCGGACGGGGAAGTACCTCGCCGGCCAGACAACGCGTCGTAACAGTTGGACGCAACCCGGCGGACGCCGTGGCTTTTCTTTGTTTTCATACCCAAGCATGTTGCTGCGTCGGCAGGTGTCAAAAAGCGGGCAGAAGGAGAGGGGATGTAATACCATCATAACACATGCACACGCACATACAAAGGAGTAGCCAAGACGTGATCACACTAGGAGCATTTTACCACTGTATCCATATAACTCCCAGTATCTTACCGCTCCTTCAAGCCTGGCGCTTGGGGGCTTTCTTGCGGAGTAAGACTTCACACATGGCACGTGGCTGTCTTGGCCTGCTTTTTTGTACAGGTGGCTTTTCCTTCTTGAGAAGGCAAGGTGTAACAGGGCAAAAAGGAGGGGTGATCAAGGAAGTGATAGTAGTAATTCAAAAGCAGTAGGAATGCAGACCTACTTGACAATACTCGTTGGCTATCATTGCCAGACATGCTCCCTACATGCTTGAGATGCGAACAAAGAGCGTCCCCCCCTCTCCTATGAGGGTGAGGGTGTTGACGATGCGACTAGCGGATTTAGGGATCGACAGGCACCCACCCATGTTTGCTACCGGTACGGATAACTTGTCAAGCTTTGGATTTCTTTTTCTTCGGCATCGCATTACCTGTATCCAGGGCCATCTCAGGTAGCGTGCCGCCTCTCGGGAGCGTTCATTGCAGCCTTGTTGTTCTTCCGACAGTCCAGTCCAGTCCAGTCCAGTCCAGCCACGGGATGAAATGTTGATGTTCGAGGGCCGCGGCTGCTTCCCAACCCTGCCGATTTTCGCAGTCTCTAGCCACCCTACATGTACGTAATCACACTGGGAATGCCAGTCGGTGCTACCGCGGAGACTTGTGTTCAAGCTTCGCCCCCCTGCGAGAGATCTAGTCATTTGTAATGACTACAGGCTAGGTAGTTGGGGTATAGCAGGCGCTGCTGGCATACTCTGTGGGACGCCAAGGCAGACTTACACACTTCCTGACTCCGGGTCCCAGCGAACAGGAAGGCGGCTGACGCAGCGTCCCGGTCGCCGATGCGCTTTGGAAGCATATTTGGGAGACGCGGGCAGGAAGCAAAGGAAAATAAAACAAAAGCCCCGAGAACGCCCTTATGAGTCCTGCCTGATTGATACGCGAACCTTTTTCTTCTTCTCCCCTTTCTCCCTTCTCTGATTTTAGTTGACAGGTAACCCCCTTCGTTGGCCGCGCGTTTCACAAGGCAGCATCAGGTTCTAAAACGTTCATGGAGACCCTCGGACGCCATTTGGCAGAGGGGACGACTCTAGAGTTGCACAGCCGCAAGCGACGTACCCGTCCCCGTCCCGGCAAGCGGGCAAATTAGCCAGGCCGCGGGAGCAAGCAACTGGCTGTTCTGTGGCGAAGCGCGGACGAAGTGTGGGGGGAGGGGTTAGGCCGTGACCCGTTGCTCGCACGGGTGGCCCCAATCCGAGCGGTAGGCGGGGCACAGCGTTGACGTAGGTAGGTACATGCATACCTTCCTAGGTAGGTAGTGTACCTACTAGCTGTACGAATACGTACCTTCCTCTGCAGTGCATATGCCGTGCACGCCGCAGCAAGTCGGGGAGCCAGGTTTTACATACCCTTGGCCTGTGTCGACCGCGGCTCGTTCTTGTCTTGTACGAATACTTGGCTTTCCATTCTTGTTCATCTACTTTGCTGTCTGTACCTTGTCTGATGAAAAGCTGCAGTCGCTTTTTTCGGCCCTCTTCTTCCTCAAATACACACAGAACCTTGGTCTTCCCGTTGTGTGGAGACGATTCTCTGTAGATCCTTTGGATATATTTGGCAGTACGTACGTACGTCGGCAACGAGTGACCTGCACTGTTTCCTTGTATTTCTTTAGCCAAGCCGGACGGGCGACAGACGGCTTAAGAACTCAGCCCACTTGACCTCGCATACCATTCATTCCTCGAGCAGGGCCCGGCCGCCTGCTTTCGCACAGTCTAGCATCCTTTTAAACCACTTGCCTCTGCTTGTCTCGAAACACCCCCCCCCCAAACAACAACCGATCGAATCGTCCTTCCTCGCCTTTTAACCTCAGCAGCGCGCACCCATTTCTCGAGTCGTCGGCTTGGCCCCAGGAAACCGCCCACGATGCTCGACGAAAACCTCCCAACCTTTCACTTCCGTCCTTCCTCCGACAACCCCCAAAACACCATCCTCTACTTCACCCACCAGGGCTCCGACCCGACGCCCAACTACCTCCTCAAGCGCGCCGACCCCGCCAACCCAGCCGCCCGCAATAAATACGCTGCCGCCCTCACCGACATTGCTTCCCAGCACATCATCTACGCCGAGGTCCTCGTCGAGCCGGAATGGACCCAGCCAACCCTCTCCGCCGCAGAGGTTCGTGCCCAGAACGGCACGCCTGCCCCGCCACAACCCATTCTGCCTGACCAGGTCACCTTGCAGCTCTACAACCCGGACTCGCAGGTCGTCATCAAGACAAAGGCCGGCGGCTGGGGCAAGACAGACAGCTGGGAGTTTGAGATGCCCGAGCAGAGTTTCCGCGCTCCGAGCGCCAGCTTGATCGACCGATCCGCCGACGATCCGCCCATCAGCGACACCGTCCCCAAGGTCGTCTTCCGTTGGAAGCGCGACGGTAGGCTGAGCAAGGACATGACATGCTACATGGTGGGGAAGAGCGTCGCCGGGAAGAAGAGCAAGGAGCCTGACATTACGGTCGCCATGTTCAAGGACCAGAAGCATGAGAGCGCCGTTACCATCTATGAGCCTAACCTGCAGCGTGTCGACGTGGAAGACCGCAAGGGATTGGATATCATTTTGCTGCTCGGTGCCGAGGTCCTCCGTGACCTGTTCCTGAACCCCAGGCAAAACGTCTTCAACCTCACATCGACTCTTCCACCGACTCGTCGGAAGAACTCGAAGCCTCCTCCCGCCTCCGTTGGGCCTGTACCACCGGTGGCCTCCATGTCCGGCGCCATCGACGACAAGCCCGCGTCACCGCCGGCACAGGCAATGAACAGCGGTCCGCCTAGACCCAACCCCCGCGCGCAGTGGGAGATTGACAACGAGACGAAGCGCCTGCAGGCCATGGTGGCCCAGGAGGAGCGACAAGCCCGCGAGCGTGAGCGTCGCGACGCCGAGGAGGCGAAGCGTATCCAGAAGATGCTTGAGAAGGAGGAAAAGGAACGTCGGCGGAAGGCGGCCGAGGTTGAGGCGGAGACAGAGCGTCTCCGCAGGTTATACGGCGTAGAGCCCAACGCGCCTGCGCCCAGTTTGCCTCCCCGACACCAACCGCCGCCCGGGTCTGCTCCGGGATCGTGGCACGTCGCACCGGCGCAGCCGCCAAGGCCTCTGAGTGCGGGACCCTACCAAAACGGGCAACCCGGGAACAGCACATATCGTCCGCCACAACAGGTGCAATTTGCGCCGCAGCCGAAGCCTCCACAGCAACAGCAGCAGCAGAGCGGTGGCGGCCGAGGTAAGCTTCCAAACCTGATGTCGGGGCTGCTCCAAGGCCCCTATGCGAACTCGGCTGCTAGCGTCAGTAACTTTTTCCACCGGGACCGGACCGAGGAGGAGAAGAGAAAGGTCGCCAAGAAGCGCAGTGTGCATTTCTAGGGATACCGTCATTGCTGACTTTTGTTTTTTATCATTCCTGCAACATTGTATCTCATAGCATACCCGGCGTTTAAACCGGACCCGAGGTTATCGTTGCGCTGCCGTGGATGCGGTTGATCCCGGTGGACCTCTGGCGTGCTTTCTTTGGATGGATATACCATTTCCTGGCATCTGGGCTCATAGAGTTACGAATTTCATGACTTTTCTCGACTATTCAATTTTCCGAGGAATCCATTGAGTGCCCCTATTGAAATGCTTCCCCTGACAGCAAAAAAGGCCCCGTGACGCACCTACGACCTCTCGAAGACGTGGCGGAGTATTCAGTATTGCGCATTGGAGACTAATGGAATGACAAGGGACAAGCTTGGGAGTATATCCCATTTGGGCAATAGTCGAAATGCACGCTAGCCGGGGGTGTGGGGGAGGAGGAGGCCCGGAATTTACATTCCACAAGCTCTGGGCTGCATTGTCGTACCAGAAAGGGTCCAGAACGGCGGATCCACGCCTACTGACTGCACGTCTGGTTGACCTCCCATCCAGATTCCACTGGTTGTTATTCGAAGCTCTCTCCTCTCAATAAACCTTTTCCGAGCAGCTGCTGGCTTGGGAGGGGATACGGTGGGTCTGGACTCATAACCGGCTGGTCGCTAGCCACAGGCTTGTTCTCCCGTGCCACCCGCGAAACATATCCCGCCGGCTAGGCTCGGTGAAGGCGCCGAGTTGGCATACATGAAAAGCTGGAGAAACACGGGGGAAACCGCCACGGCGAGCTGCCATGCTACCTGGAGACATGCCCACATGCCCATGTTCATAATCGAGCCTCAAGACCTTCTCATGAAACCCTTCGCTCACCAGTCCGTAGCTCGAGAAATACTACAACCTCACCTACGTCGTCATCTCACTCATCTTCCTCTCCCCATTCCTCGGCTACGTCCCCTTGGCCCTGCTCAACACCCACGTCCACCTGCGCTGGGGCCAGCGCGGCATCGCCATCCTCGCCTCGACATGCCACGTCGTCGCCTACGTCATCATCGCTCAGCACCCGCCCTACCCGGCGCTCGTCGTTGTCTTCATACTCGCGGGCTTGGGCAATGGCCTGAGCGACGCGGGGTGGAACGCCTACATCGGTAACATGGAGCGCGCCGACGAGGTCCTTGGCTTCCTGCACGCCTGCTACGGCGTCGGCGGCGTCGTCAGCCCGCTCATCGCCACGACCATGACCACTAAGGAGAATTTGGGGTGGTGGATGTTCTACTACGTCATGGTGAGTCCAGACACGGCGCGAGACGAAGGCACACTGTGAGTGTTTTCGCTTCCCCCTCCAAAATTTGTAGATTCGTGACCCGGCTGACATACATCGTGAGGAAAGATCGCCTTGGCCGTCATCGAGATCGTCTGGTGCACGGCGGCCTTCTGGACGCAGACCGGGGCGGTCTACCGCGAGACGATCAGCCACTCGGGCAATGACGGCAGCGCGGGCCTGCCGACGGCCCTCTTCAAGCGGCCCTATATCTCGGCGGTGGCCGTCGCGCTGCAGGGATTCTTCTTGGGGCCGCTCTTCCCCGCCGTCGTCGTGGCGACGACGAGGCTACTGCCGAGACATCTGCACGTCAGCACCATCGGGTTCGCAGCCGCGTTCGGGGGCGGCGATCCTGCCCTTCGTCGTGGGCGCCCTGGCGCAGGCCAGGGGCGTGCAGGTCTTGCAGCCCTTCATCCTTGCGTTCTTGGGGGTTATGATGGCGTTGTGGCTCTGCTTGCCTAAGATCGAACATAAGGAGGAGTAGGACGAGAATGTAGGAAAGGAAGGGGAAGTGGGGTTTAGAAAACTGGACCGGTCGTGGGCGGAGGGAGCGTCGGTTTGCATAGAATGGGGAGGACTCCTGCGTAAAATATGTGAAAACTTCCGCTTGCAAATCGACACCCGGGGCCGGTCGTTGCAAGGGGACATCAAAAGATGATTTGACCCCAGCTTCGGCAGGAAACCTGCCATAGTCTCCTCTTATCCTGTAGTCAAATATCCAATGATCCAGCAGGTTCTGCCACCTCCTGACGTTTTCGATATGTCCACTGAGCGGCCCCAACACTTCTGTGTGAGTTTTCACTCGACACCAGCTAAGAATACAAAATGACTTGCGCCTCTTGAGCATTGGTGGTGAAAACGGGCCACACAAAGCAACACTTGTTCAACAATAACTTCTGTGAGGTCTCTTTGCTCAAGATGCCCAGGGTCTTAGCAGAGTAGGAGTAGAGGCTGCTTGGATATAGAGGTGATTGCGTCATGTAGAATCCCAAGAATAAGCCATGTGTAAGAACAGTTCCCCAGGGTCCAAGTCACGGGAAGAGGTATTATGTAGTAGCTATAGGCGCATGGTCTATAGCTTTCTTGTCTGAATGAAGACAAGAGAGCAGAACTTGAACCACAAGGATGGGAGAATGGCTGTAGGGTCTTTGCAAGAACGACGATAGGGAGTTGGTACCTGATCCCTCCCCTTTTTCATCTTCTTATTGGCATGTGCTGTTGAAATCGCATCAAGTAACATACACTTGGAGGAAAATGAGCTGGTCTTTGATATTGGACAGTATTGCACAACCTACATTCATCGAATCCTCACGGCTTGTGTAATAAACAGCTGACAAGTCAGGAACGGAAGACAAGGGTCTGCCAAAAGAAGCTATGGATGGTCTGTGCATGCAATCACCACATAGCATCAACGGTCATATTCGGAGAAACAATCATCCGCACAGTGACGCTCGGACCAATCCCAGTTACGCTACCTACCAAAAATTCTCATGATGGGTCCCTCAACTGGCATGTCTGGCCCAGCTGTTGCTGAACATCCCCTAGCCTATTTTCAAGCTCAACTCCATCCCAACGACTCCTCCCTCTTCGACGACCAAGGCTATTTCCTCGACAACGACTTCGTCTGTGAGATCCATCGTCGGCTTTCCATCTTTGGTTGGAAAAAGTCATTCCGCTTTGGCCTGCGTCAGCAAGCGATCCTTGAACGACTCCAGGAGCTCGGGTTTTTCTTCGCCCTTCCTCTAGACTTCAACCTTCGCCTTCGTACGCCTCCGGGCTACATCCGCTACCGTCTTATCGAAATCTTTGCCAACGCGAGGCGTACAGCCGAACAGGAACTCAGAAACGAGCACCGCTCGCTAATCCCAATCATAATGGTTCAACTCACCGAGGTCGAGGACGAGCACTTTCAGTCCGGCCAGAACGGCCCCATCGAGGATGATGCCGACTACACCGACACCGGTCAGTGGGACCCCACGAGATTATGAGGCTTGGGCGCGAAACTCCGATTTCTTCGTGCCACGAAGCTTGAGTAACTCGCATGCGTCACACGGCCAGCTAGCTGACAACCCACAGACTCCGAGATCTCTGCCGACAGCGACTACGACCCCCGTGACGAGTCCTTCGCTGAGCGCCTCTACGCTTTGAAGGACATTGTCCCTCCGACCACCCGCGGCTGGATCAGCAACAAGGTCGATCTCGGCGTCAGCGCCGTCCAGAACACGTGGTACTACGGCTCCCGCACCGTCTGGGTCGTCTGCGCCACTGCCCTGATGATCGGCGTCCCCCTGGCCACCTGCTGGGCCGAGGACCAGCAGATCGAGGGCATGGAGCGCGAATATCGCATGCGCGAGATGGGCGGCGACGCGCTCCTCACCGCCGGCGAGAGCAAGGACGGCAGCACCGCCGACCAGGTTGGCCTCGCCCTCGACCGCGCTGAGGCCAAGCCTGCTTTGTAAACTACCAAACTATCAAACGCAACAAAAACAAACTACCACAATGCAAATCGAAGCTAGGAAAGACGAAGCTTGGCTTTTCGAAACTCCCCCAGAACCGCGCACCAATGGCCTGACGACACTCCCGTACACCCCCTTACTGGGAACCGGACAGACTTTTGCGTCACTTTATTTTTTTTGCGCTTCGGACCTGTATATCAAGACAACTCTCTCACACTCTACAACACACCCACGGCAATCGGAACGTTGCATGCATTGCGCTCATGGATGGTTGGCAGGATGGGGTTTCCCTGCCATATTGCTTGTACTATAGGAATTCATGAGGCTGCGATAGGAATGGCCGCTTGCAATCATGATGAAATTCTAATACCCATCCCGTTTCCAGCGGCACTCGCCGTGACTGCGCGCTGTTTGCTCTTTGTGCCGTTTCACTACCGATACCACCTCCCAAAGTGGATGAGGGCATCGAGACACAGCAGCACTATGCCGAGTAATCCCTCTACCGTGTTTATTTTGCGTTAAGTGGGAGAATCTGTGAGTGCCTCGCCTTTAGCAGAGCAGACTTGGGAGCTGAAGACACCGGGGACGAGAGCTTTCGACATCTCCAATTAGCCAGAGACGACTTGTATTTATGCAGAACCCGCAGCGCAGCATGCCGGGCCAGGGTCGAGATGCCGGCCTTCACCATCTCGTTTGGACTGTCTTGCCTGCCGGCATTGCCGCCGTTTGTGCGTCGTTCAAGTGAGCAGGGCGTCTGTCAACGTCCAGGTAGGTCAACATGGACAATAATCCGTCTGTGGGCTGCTTTGCCTGCAAAGTGCTCGCCAGGTGGCCTATCAAGAAATTCGATGAGGATGGGGGGAACTCGGCGGCGCGTGACGCAGTCCATCTTAGGGGCGAAGTATGGCTGAGCCTCATACACCAGCGGGAGGCCTGGTTAAATATGTAGCGACCGTGCTCTCCACAACGATCGTTATGCAAGCAAGAGCTTTCTCTTGGCGTCCTTTCCATGTCGCTTACTCGGCGATCACAAGCCCACGCCTTGCCCACACTTGACCGGAGCTCATATCTCTGTGAGCCAGTAAGCTACGCCGGGGGTCAATGAGCATCGAGGCGGCGCACAGCTTGAGAAATGTGTCCTGAATGGTCTACATGATTGGAAGCATAGGAGCACGACCCAGACACATTGCCCAGAGTAGCAGCTACGTCGTTCGTGTCCGTTCCGATCCACCGCCAGGATGTTGTATTGCTAAAACACCTCAAAGGACCGGTTTTTCTCCACAAGATATGCCGCAGTTGCCTCAGGTGATGATCTGGCTGATGCCGCTACAGGAGAAAGCCATTCCGATACGTTTGGACACAGGGCTGAGGCATAACCACGGTTGCTGATGTAAGTGCTTCAAGTACTATCCAATGGCGTCCTGTGAAGAGATCAAGTCCATTATTTCCCCTGCGGCTCGAGTACGCCAATGCAAAAATGAGAAATTCCATGCCGTTGGAGATCGAGCGTTTGTTGAGCCCGAATCCAAGGACGAAGGTAACAACTCCCGATGCTGCAGGTAATTGTAATTCCAATATGGGATGCTCGATGGTAACGGCCAGAACCCGGCCGTGTTCATGCAAGCCAGCGGCGACGTCCTTCTCTTTTACGAAATGTGAGAATGGAATCGGGTCCTTGATAGGCCCGTATATACATGTACGTGATGTATCGTGGTATCGAAACAGGCCAATGCCCACGCACCAACAGCACCGGTTCATGCCAACTTGCGAGCTCCTAGGCAACTTTCACCCAAACCCCTCAAAAATTCATTTGCTCTCTTTCTCGCACAACGCAGCCGTATGCGTCACTCGTGGTTTTCAAATTCCAGGCTCTGGGGTGAGGGGGTCGGTCTGTCTCACTTCGGCGTGAATAGACCGGTTGTCCCTCCCGCCCGGGAACCACAGCTCCGGGATCGGGCCCCCACCGACCACCCCGCCTCGGAACCAGGGGTGGGTGGGGTCACCGTATCGTTTCCCGACTTTCCCGGTGGACATTAACCCCCACAAAGCAATAGATACTGCGGTAACGGCTTGCAGTCATTTCTTCCTACTTCACAGCATAAAAACCAAAGGACGTTTCGAAAGAGTTTACTCGCGCTACCTTGCACATACTGGTCGTTCGTTTCGCCCCCACCCTGTCTCCCAAAAAGGCTGTCTCTGCACCGGCCACCTGGACGGCCCGAGTTACATTTTTGTCGCGCGAGAATCCAGCCTGCTCGTCCCAACGTCTTACAACGTCGTCAGCTCGGTTCGAGTCAGCATTTCACAAGCCAAAAAGAGGAAGAAGTAAGAAAGACAAAAGTAAAAATTAAAGATACAAAACACTCTGGACGAGGCTCTGGGAATCTCTTGAAAGTCCCATCGATAGAGCTCGACACGATGGGCTCACAGCTCGCAGCAGACATGGACTTCAAAGCCCTTCCGAAAATCGAGGTATGACACCTCTTGTGGAGAGAAACACTATCCAAAAGCCGACTTTATGATATCGGGACCTAATACCCGCTTAGCTCCATGCCCACCTGACAGGCAGCATAAGCCGCCGCGTCCTCCACGACATTTGGGTCCGCAAGAAGCAGGCAGGCGAGACGGACCTCGCAGACCCTCTCGTCGAGATGCCGGATGGTAAATACGACTTCAACCTCAACACGTAAAGTCCTCTTCTTTTCCCTCATATATTTTTGCCCGTCTTTCACTTCTGCATCTAACCCTTGCAGCCTCTGACCGCAACCCTCACAGATTCTTTCCCCTCTTCTCCTCTTACATCTACCATCTCATAACCGATCCAGAAACTCTCTACGCCGCAACATACTCCGTACTCCAAGATTTCTACGCCGACGGCGTGACTTACCTCGAGCTCCGCACCACGCCGCGCTCTCTCCCGTCACCGAACCCGCAGCCGCCCTCCGTCTACGTCTCCACGATTCTCTCCGCCATCGTCGCATTCGAAGCTGCTCACAATGACCCCCAGGCGATGCGCACACGTCTGATCCTCTCCATAGACCGCCGCCACACCCCCGCCCAGGCTCACGAGACTGTCCGCCTCGCCGCCCAGTTCCGCGAGCAAGGCGTCGTCGGTGTCGACCTCTGCGGCGATCCGGCCGCTCGCGTCCACGGCGTGCCCGGACAGGACGATGTCTCCATCTTCCGCGACGCCTTCGCCGAGGCCAGGAAGCTTGGGTTGGGTATCACGGTACACTTTGGCGAGGCCGAGTGTTCGGGCACTGTCGGCGAGCTTGCCGAGATCCTGTCGTGGAAGCCGCAACGGCTGGGGCACGTCATCCACCTCGGCGAGGACGTGAAGCGGAAGATCGTGGAGCGAAAGATCGGTCTGGAACTGTGCCTCAGCTGCAACGTGCATGCAGGCATGATATCAGGCGGGTTCGAGGGGCATCATTTCGGAGAGTGGTGGGCCGTGGAAGGGAGCGTGATATCTCTCGGCGTACGTTTTGAGCCCCTGCCACTTACTTCATCGCATTCTCTCTCTACTCCATGTACGAGTCAGTTGAAGGCCGTGCTAACTCACAGGCTGCGAATAGACTGACGACGTGGGCGTTTTTGGCAGCCCCCTGTCCAACGAGTACAGACTGGTAGCTGAGCATTTTAGGCTGTCCCGCGACGACATCTGCACGCTCACCCGTCGAGGGATCGAGTCAATCTTCGGCGGCGAGGACGAGAAGAATCGTCTACGACGAGTGATGTGGAGACCTGCATCGGTCGAGCGGATCTGAGCGCCGGGTCCGTGGACGGAGGAAGAACAACCGAGAGCGGATCGCGAGCAAGCCATCCATTTTTTGGACCTTCTTTCCCATTATGCCGCCGGCCCAAGAGAAAAATACGCGTTCCTTTCCCCTCTCAGATGACCCGGCACGCCGCCAGTAGAGTGTTGACAATATTGTCCACTGCCCGCGCGGCATCTTGCTGCATGACTGGCTCGACCGTCCCGACCGTACTCGGGCTGCTGAAGACCCCGGGGCCTAAAATTTTCGCTTCCAAACTCAAGGGGGCTATCTGTCCTTCGATCCGTTTCTAGGCCGTTAGTAACCCCTCCGTCTCACCAGTCAATGCCTCCTGTCTCGTAGCCTGGGGGTTCGGATTGGCTGCGTGGCCTGGGAGATGGTTCGTGCCGCCAAACCAAGCGTGACGTTGGTCTGATGGATATCCCTGGTACGCCAACAGCCCCGACATGATGTACGCTTTGCGACGCAACTCGCATCGCGACTGGATGCACAACATCCAGGAACAAAGCAGCGTCGTTCAACTGTGGCATCTGTCGACCGCGTCTCCCTGCTACCCCACCGCAGCTTGCACACTCGCTGCAGAGATCCATGAAGTGGCTTCCTTGGTTCAGTTCCAAGTATAAAGAATGATTAGCTATCTGTCAAGGCTAGCGCCATTTTTTCGTCTCCTTCCGATTATCGTACTAGCTTCGTCCTGAGCATGTACTTAATGATAGTTGATCAATATCAAGCTTTCTAATGCCTACCCCCAAGTGTGTGTATTCCGTCGTTCCCTTAGCACCCGTGTACACGGACTATGACTGCTCGATTGGGAAATGAGACTATTAATAACAGAACAAGCTTGGTCCTCCCTAAGACCCGCACTTTCCTGGTTATATGTTAACTTATGAGACATACCTCCATACCTAGTAAGGATAAAGTCCGAAAAAGGTTCCGAGTGTTCAAGCTGGTCACTTTGCTCGACTATGGTTCACAGTGGGGGGGGGGGGGGGGGGTCGGGCACAGGCAACCCACGTCAGCGATACGGCGCGACCAGACCCAGGTGCTTGCCATTTGGCCGCTTGCCCGCTGAGCGAGTGTTTGGGCTAGTGTGCTTCTCCAAACTCTACTCAAGATCTTTTGGCCGGAGGTGAACGGGGGATCGTTCCAACCAGTTACTGGCAGAGGCGTTTCTGCCGGCGGCAAGGGCGTGCTGGGTTGGCAGGAGGGTCTTCGCCTTGTAGTGTGCAGCAGACGGTCACGGCGCCGACCGATCCAGATGTAGGGCTAGAAGACGGCGAACGTATCGACTGCTGCAGCCTCAAGGCTTCATGTCGGTTGGGTATCGAAGCTTGTCTCACGCAAGTTTCCGTCTTGGTCCTGAGAAGGCGGCGAGATGGTGTCACATTTTGCCAGGATGACGAGATTGCTTGCTCTCTAAGCAGGCTGTTTTCCAGCACAGATCTGCGAATTCTTCTTGTCGAAACGGTCCTCGTCCTTCGCCTATTGTTGAGGTGATACCCGGGCCTCATCGGGACGGGATCGTTCAAGGTTGCCTACAGAGGGCCTTCGTGCCCGCTCGTAGCAAAGGCAATCCTGGCTTTGTACTATGAAACGGCCAAAACGGGAGGCATGTGATGATGAGAAAACATCCTCGAGAGGGGACGACATCTGAGTGAAATTGGAGGGGTACGACAATGGGGGACTAACAGTCAATGCAAGTGGTGAATGGCAAGCGATGAGTGGCCGTTGGAGCCGCGGACAGCCGGATCTGGCCCGCGATCTGGAGTGGAGCAGGATTCATGAAGCCTGTGCGGTTTCCATGGTGGAGGACGCGTCAACGTTGATTAGCATCCGGCAGAAGACATTGGTTGAGGCGGGGTGATCAGGCACTGCTGCCTCCATACTTTATGCTGCTGGACTTGGGATTTGCTACTGGACCTAGGATTTGCTACTTACACCGCAATGCTGATTTCTTGTAGATCTAGAAAGATATTTCTCGGTATATCGGAAGGGGGTTGCGGAATTTGCGTCGACTACATACCGCACTGCTCCCCGGTGACGTTGCCCACCGCAGATCAACAAAAGCACCGGCTGGTCATAAGGACAAATAACTGTTTGTTTTCCGGTCACTTTCTGGTGCGTCTTTTAGGCAGACTGCCTAACCAATGGAATGATTTGGCGGCGAACGCCATTGCGCATTGAGGGCGATCCAACCTAGCCATACCTGGCTTAAGGTCGCTTTTGGCTCGATTAGGGACTGTGGACGTGTGACTCAGTGCCCGGCGCTACGATTGGTCGCAAACTTACGTCGCTCAGGTCGTTAGCAGGCATATACAAGTTGTATATCGGCGTAGGAGTCGCGCCATAGGTACTTGTTCAGTGTCCCTGATATATGATTGTCCTAGCGGACTGTTTGTCTGTACGGCCATCTAGCTCACCTATAACAATGTCCATTTGAAAGTCCAAGGCATAAGTGCGTGAATTTTTTCTTCGGTATGTTGGCGTCTTTGTGGCAAGTGCCTTGGAATTGCATTTTTGATGGGGAAGCGAGTCGTGGAAGGGGGTCGGCTCAAGTAACGCAAGCTTGAACGGTCCCGGTGATACACAAGTGCTATGTATACCAACGCCCTACAAGCTTACCCATGAATTATCCTGGCTTGGTGTGACCATTGTCTAGAGTGGAAGCGGCAGACGACGGCAAGGGACAGCAACGGCCTCCTTTATTGATCACAGCGCGCTGTTGGTGGCAGGGCGAGCAAGTTGACTGACACGTGCAGGCAAAAGCAGAGGGGATAAGCGCATGCTGCATTAGGTAGGGATTGCTGAGATATGTGTGGTCGTATGAAGGATAGCGAAGGGTATATCATCTGTGTCGCTGTGTTTCTGTTTTTCCCCCAGACTGTTTTGATACTTTCTTTACTCTTGCGTTACTCGAACCCGCGAAGACCAACCGGGCGGAAACGAGCAGTAAACAGTGTCGTAGGTGGCTCGGCGGTACCAGCGGATTCGGGGCAGGCGGAGGCACGCACGGCTCGGCTTGGCTTGGCTTGACTTTGCTTTCCCGTTGGATTGTTAGACGCTGATGCTGCTGTTGCTGTTCGTTTGACATGTAGGACCGTCCAAACCATGGTGCATTCCGCCTGGTTCATGGCGGCAGGGGCAACGCGGGCAAAGCCAAGGCAGCCAGTCAGTCGGACAGCCTCTTAACCTTGTGGCCTCAGATGTCCCCCCCCCCCCCCCCCCAACACAGATGCCATCAGCGGCATGAGTGAAAGGCCAAGTCGGTCGTCGCAACCCGAATCCTGGACCCCGAAATATGCAGTCGTGGAAGCTTGGGTCTTGTGGTGGCACTGGTTGACCCTGGACTGGGACTAGGAGAGCTTGGGCCGCCCGTGCCTCGCATTGTGTAGAAGAAGAAGAAGAAGGACAAGAAACCTCGCCAACCACCGTCCCGGAGCAAAGCTTCAACGCTGCGAATGGTTGGCCGGGATGTGGCATGCCGTGTCTGGGTCCGTAGGTAGCGGCAAGAGTATGCACCCCTCCCCAGTCCCCAACTTTCGTGGTTGGCCGGGATGACGAGCACTGCCGTGGGATGAGAAGAGTTGAGAAAGTTGGACGGCAAGGCTGATGAAAAGCGGAAAGATAAGTGGGGGGGGAGAAATGACGGGGAGATAATCAGATGTCTCGTCGTAGTGTATTGTACAATGTTCAGCTCTGAGTGTCTGGCATGCATCGACCTACGAGGAAGGCTGGATTTTGTCAGTGATTGAATGATGGAATAGTTCGCTGTGCTTGGGGCCAAGGCCTGCGGATGTGCCACCCTTCATCTGGCTGCGCTGACATCACCAAGTCGTCTGTTGCGCGTCGTGCTTGTCCTCCCAGCAAGTGAAGGAGGAGACGGGAAAGCCGGGAAACAAGCGGTGCACAGGCTGCGAAGAAGCCGTTGCCAGAAGAAGGGAATCTAGGTACTGCATAGGTAAAACAGGTACATAGGTGGTAGGTGGTGTGGGATGTTGGCAATGAAGTCAGTACCTACCTACAAGTATACAAGTGTATGCGACTCTGAATGTGGTCTAGTAGCATCTGCAACCAACCTATTTTATTTTTACTTTTTTATGCAATGCAGAAAGAGGCAGACCCACAGTGCACCTACCTACCTAGGTAGGTACACTAGTTTATCTGTCTTCTTAAGGTAAGGTACGCACCGCAAGCGAGACGCAAATGCAGCAGTGCACCAAGTACTTGTATGTACCTGGGCGAGCTCGAAGGGTCGCCTCGGACACGTATCTCGGCAGATTATGTGAAAAATAGGAAGAAAGAAGAATTCAAAAAGAAGAAGAAAAATTTAGCAAAACATCTCTGGTCCAAACTCTACCTGTGCCAGACTTTCTTTGACGGCTTCTTTCCTTCCAGGTCGGTCCTTGGCCAATTGGGGTTTGCTGCGAGCCCAACCCTCTTAAACAAACACTCGCTCGAATATACTCTCTGCTGGCCGAGGCCTACGCAGTGACGGCACAAACTAACCGAGAGTTTGCTGATTGGATTGGAGATCGAGAAGAAAAACCAAGAAGGGGGGGACCTTGGGCATCTTGATAGGTAGTCGCTGCACTCAAGCATCCTCACACCCATAGCAAACGTTACTCTTCATAACCCAGTTGCCTAGGTGCCTAGACCCTGGTCTACAGTACTCTATTCATGAAGCGTGGGTACGTACAATGGGATAGTGGGAGTGACTAGGTATGTAGGTAGACGTAGACGGTGCTTGTCGTCAAGTTCCGATGCGTACATTAGACGTTCCTATCGCGCATCCTACTTGCCTACGTCTCGCGCTTGCACTTGGCCAAGGTGGGTTTAACGAGGAGAAGCCTCAGAAAAAGAAGGGTGCCGGTGCGGCGGCAGGGCGGGCGACTCCATTTCCCCGCTTACCGTAATGTACCGGTACGATGTATGCACTGTAGCTTGGGTGTCTAGGTAAACGTACCTTGGGTAGTTTACTTCGCAGTTTACGT